AAATTTCAAAACCTTGAAGGGGGGGGGGGGGAGTTTGTTCTATGTCTGGGAATATGGTGGCTGCCACTGGCTGGGTTTCTCCTTTTGCTTTTTTCTTTGGGAGAAGGCATTTGTTTTTTTCAATTTTTTTTATTTTTTTTTTGCATGTGAACGTGTTTCACAATGTTGAAGAGTACTCTTAATTGTGCCCACTTTTTGTGTTATGTTCTGTTAAATGAGGTCAGGTCTGTAACATAATCGAGTCCAACAAAAGTGCTTGGCCCACAAAGCCCAAACAAAGAGGAAGACGTCAGGCAAGGCACCCCACCTCCTTTCCTGTTCGATGTTGCATCGTTCTTGGTCAAAAAAAATCGCAGCCTCATCTGTGCGTCGCAGCCAAAGACGAGGAAATGGACAGGAAAGACAAACAGAGGCACAGATTCCTTTCTCAGTTTCTGAAACCAGATAAACAAACGATAGACAAACAACGGAAACGTCCTTCGGGACTGGGAGATCCTTTACAATTGGAAAGAGATACAGAAAAAAGATCGATTAGCATGCCCCCTGCACAAGGATGACACGCATAAATCGACAAGTGCTCCAAAACTTAAGAAACGAAGTACAATAATTGAAAACAACAGCAACAAGAACAACAAGAACAACAACAACAACAACAACAACAACAACAACAACAACAACAACAACAACAACAACAACAGCGGAAACAAACGTAAAAAGACGAACAGCAGAACTGACAGACACACACACACACACGCACACACACACACACAAAAAAAAAAAAAAAAAAAAAAAAAGGGAAAGAAACAAGAAAAGAAAACACAGAGGGAACTGACAACTATGAAATAACCTCGAGAACAAGATGAAAGTTCTTAGTAACTTCTTACATAGAACTTGGCCCTCTTCTTCCTTTCCCATCGCCAAAGAAATGGGAAACCTTCAGCTTCAACCCCTCCCCTCCCCTCCTTCCCCCCTCCCCACAAATTAACAGGGCCTTATGATCCTGGCTCTTTTCTATTCTCTAGGGAGCAGGGAGCATCATTACCCGAGTTCCTCCTCCACTCATGGGTGGGTCTGAATTTCTCGGAGATATTAAAATAATAATTACATACAATGTTACATATGTGGCAACTAAAAGAAGAGAATGCACTTTGGGAGCGAGCGAAGAAAATAGCACACGACATAAAGCACACTGAAACCGTTGTTTGGGCTTTTGCTGCGCAGTTCTTTCTTTCCTTACGTTGGCTTTTTTTTTTTTTTTTTTTCGTGGTTTCTCGTGTTTCTTCTTTTAGCTCCGGCTTTACTATGCCTCTCACGTACAAGGCTCACCACATTGATGTTGTTGCGAGCGATCTGCCCACTTCCCCGTGTGACAGAACGGCCCACTTGACATCATGATATATGTACTCTTCCTTCCATTATGCCCCCAAAGACACCTTTGATCAGCATTGATTGGTCCAATATTGGAGGATTAACTATCAGATGAGACTCATGAGAGTGGTGTAATGCTCTGTCCATGCGAACATGGGCTGCCAGATTAGTGTGAAAATCTAGAGTCCATCGGGAACTCGAGTGCAGTCCAGCCTTCGTGCTAATCTGGCAGTCTGAAAATAATCTGCCAAAATAATGCGCTAATCTGGCAGACCGTATTCTGCTAGATTTGTCGACTACCGTCGTCACCCGAAAATAACGCCCACGTGGATTTTTGATTTTACTCACTTTTTTTCAAATAGAACAGAACGGCCCTTTGAATATTGGAGTCAATTGGACCCGGGCATATATTTGAATGTGCCATAGGCAGAGTGCCTTGTAGAGGGAGTAATAGGAGTATACATAGCGGTCGGCAGGGATGCAGCCCTGACTCGATATATATATTCTCAATCTGCAGGTGGATCAACATTTGGGTGCTGCTTGAAGGGACGGTGAATGCCGAACCCAGACCAGACCACCAGTGTACAGA